AATAAATACATAACACAATATCATTTTATACAAAGAATAAATAATAAATCTAATAGATAAATAATAATCTTAGCCATGAAACATAAATATTTTAAAATTAATAATACACAAAAAGGTAACAAAAAAAAAATAGTAAGGCAGGATACATTTTATAAATTTACCTGTTTATTGTATAATTAAAGTTTATTGGGTTCACTTTTTTAGTATAAGTTATAGCTTTACATTTTTTAATGTTAAGGAATAAATTATTGCGCCTACACCAAACTAGTAACTGATCTAACTGCGTCTGAAGAAATAGACAGTCACATATGTCAGAAATTTTAAAAAAGAGCTTTAGATCATCTGCAAACAAGAGTTTTGGACCAGAAATGAAATCCGTATACCGTTAATTAAGAATAAAAAAAGTAAGGGTCCTAAATTAGAACCTTGGGGCACCCCTGACGTAGCGAAAAATAGTTTTGATGAAAAGCCATTATAGGTTACATACTGTTTTCTTAGTGATAAATAGGAAAGAAATAACATTTGCATTGATTTTGAAAAACCGAGCTGACTTAATTTGTTAGCAATTATTATATGGTCAATCTTATCGAAAGCCTTTTCAACTTCAGTTAAGATAACATCTACTTGTCCACAGTCATCGAGGGTTTCATGTAAAAATTGTGAGAAGCAAGATAAATTTGTCACGGTAGATCTATTTGCCATGAAACTATTAAATTTAATCTATTAATTATGATTTCTCGTATTGTAGATAGACTACATAGTATGTCGCAACCCTTTAGACATACCAAACCTTAGCAGCGCGTTTCATTTGTTTGGAATGAATAATTATTTTGGCGCTAAGCATTTCGGCGACACCAAAAGCTTTACTCGTGTTTATTTGTGATGGTTGAATTAAACGACATTGGATTAATAGTTTGTCACAATGGTTTATTGTGTTGCATATCAGTGTATAAAAGTCGTAGCGACAAGAAATAAACAGATATTACGTTTCACAGGTAAATAATATTCATCAAGCATTTATACTTTATATATTTTCTTATATTTTTTATTTTATTTGGTTATTATACAGCTTTCTATTTATATAATGTTCGTGTCTCACTCCAGAATAATATTACCCGCCAAGTTTGTTAATTTTATGTTTTTCATTAATTTTTAAGCAATTAATGATATTAAAATTGCCAAAAAAGCAAAAAAGCAATTTTTTTTCAGTGGCGTGTCATGCAATTCTAATTATTAACTTTAATCAAATACTATTTATTGTTGAATCTACTTTTCTTAATAACAGATTTGTGAATAGACATAACTTTCATTATTTTACAGCACCAAAAATAAACATGAATGTCGAGCTGTAGATCGACAAAACCGATGCATGGTCGTTAAACGTTTATGGTGGAATGATGGAAAGACAGTTTGGTAAGGCTCTATTTTTTTGATAGCCATTTAAATGAGACAATTTTTTTTTTAATTTTTGAAGAAATATCCCTGGAAACTTCTTTTGCTCCTGTCCATTTTTTGCATAATGCCAGAACATATTTAAACCAAAAATTTCCTGAAAAATAGATGGGAAGAAAATGCCCTACTAATTGCTCTCCTAGATCTAGAGTGGTTAGTCGGGTAGACTAACCACTCTAGATTTTTTTTTGAGGATATGTAAAAAATGTAGTTTATCTAACTTAGCCGATCACCGCCGAAGATATGAAAACACGCATTCGTGGTGCGTTTGCTATTATTAATTTAGAGATTTTAAGTAATGTAAAAAATAATTTTGAAAGCGAATCAGAATATGCATTGGAACCTACCGCACCCAGATACCATAATAATTTATTGATTCCATTTTATTAAAAAAAAGTTGCATTCTTATTAAATTTAAAATCCTTCATTTAACAAAATTCTCCCAGATAATTAAATCTTATTCACGACACCTAATAAATAATATCTATGACCCAGCCCGTAAGAGATCCAATTTCTTACAAGTGTCTGGGAACGCAATCTAAAACCACCATACAACATAAGTTGCCACGAAGTATTAATCATTAAAACTCTTAAGGCACTTATCTTAGGTCAGTTTTGAATAGGAACGTTGTTTTCGATACACAAACTTTTCAAGGCATGTAATAAATCAGCCACCCCCTATCCGCCTAAATTCGTTCACTGACGTCACCAAAAAAACTAATTAAATCAAGTATAAAGATCCGATTAAAAGGGACTCGAAAGGCATTAAGAAATCAGACTCAGTTCAGTTGATTTCGAGCTCCAATCGTATATTCTTCGAATCTAATATAATTCAAGTTCGGTACCTTTCCTAAACCTACGCAGTTCATATCCTACCTTTATCCGACGCTCTTCAGCCCGACCAACTACCTCCCAAACGTTCCCACGTCTCGACGTCACTACGTCATCTCTTTTATCCGACGTCCCCATCCGACGCCCAATATCTCATTTGACGCCCTACGTCCATATCTACTTTCCTGCGTTTGGCGTTCTGCGTCACGCCGTTCTAAATTTCGACGCCAATGTCTCAACGTCCCTGCTAATTATCCCGAATACAAAAATATAAAATGTCTGAAATAGAAACAGATGATAATATAAACTCAACGGTCTGCTTATCCGATGGTGAGTTAATAACAACCAAATTAAATTTGTAAAAATGTGAATTTATTGTTGAATAATAATGAGTATTATTGTGTGTAACTCATTATTATTCAATAATGGTAAATCTTTACATTTGAGGAATTTGTTGCTCGCCGACATCGCATTTAGCTCGTCCAGATGTGTATGCTATGGGTCATATTGCCTTCAAATTAATATATTACCGTAAAAGATAATAAGAGTCTGGTTACCGAACTGTCAATGAACCCTCGCAAATATCTACTAAATAACAGCTCAGCTGATTGGGGTAAATGACACATCGGACGACTAGACTCACATTTATCCGAATATGCTTGATGTTACTACAGGGTTGGACTATCTTAGATAATTATCTCTCAATCTTCGCACCGTAGGTAAATAGATAGGTAGATAGGTAGGTAGATAGAACATAAGGGGTAGTTCGCTAGTATTGATCTGGCACTATTCTAGTAGGACTACATCTACATAAAAACCCCTAGGTGAGGCTGAAACATAAGGGACATCCGCCTGTTATTGCAACGACGGTATCTCAGTAAGCGCACCTATATAAAAAAGAAAACAACGAAACAAAGAATTATTAAAGATAGTGCAATTCTGAGGACGTCTGCTGTCTATTCTCAAGAATTATTTTATTACAAATATTTGATGGCAAGTGGCCTGTGGCCTGTTGTTTGGGCGAGACACATGTGAGGTCTACCTTATATTAAAAGTAATCTGTACATACTGAGTTTATTGGAGATCAAAAATAAATTAAGTTAAATATATTTTGAGCATTATTTCATTCACAAATTTGTACCAAACTTTGCATCAAATCCTGGATTTTAATTTACATTATCATAACGTGGGTATATAAATTATCAATTAATTAACTAGACGATCACTACACTACTAGAGGAAAAGGCCATACACAGTAAGTATGAATTTCTTTGAATTTCACAAGGGGAGGGAGGGAGGTAGTTAAATTAAAATACGGGTTTTAATAATTAGCTACAAGACCGGGGGGTGGGCGGTCACACCATTGACAACAATGGATATCATTTTGAACATTTATTGTAAATTTTAAATTTACTAACAAATTTTGGAATAATTATGTTTATTAATAGCTTTGTTAAAATAAAACTATTAGTAGATGTTTGACATTTATTAATTCATAAAACTATTGATAATAGTTGATATGGGTATAGGGTACCTTATAGAACTTTTAACGTAAATAAAATTTCCTTCATTAGTACCATATAAAATACAGGGTGTTCCATTTAAATTAATTAAGCAGTAATTAAATAAAACATTTTACTATAATAAAATTTCAAATTGCAAACACCCCCTACATAATTTGAATATTTTAATGATTCTGATAAAAAGTTACATTTTATAAGGAACTGCCAAAAATTCGTTAATTAATTATTTTGTAATCAACAGAAATTAATTAATTTTGACAGCACTTCATTTTCAAAAAATGTTAAATAAATCGGTATATATCATAGATGGGAATAAGAAATCTTATTAAATTAAGAATATTTAAAAGATAATATAGGATGTCCCATTTAAAAAAATATAACTTTATATTGGTATTCTGGTTTGGGACACCCTGTATATATAAAACTAATTTTACTATGTAGCAGCCATTGAATTGTATATTTGTGCGGAAGGAATTTTTAATATCGATTGTACTTTACCCACCAGGCTCCGTCCGGTTGAGCGTGGCGCACCTTGTATATATATTTTTTTGTGCCTTATTTATTGTTCTTCATTTATTTTAATTTTTACGCTTTGAACTTGCTATATACCTAAAAATACAATAAAGTACTAATACCAAAAATAAAAGTTCATTATTTTATTTCCAACATGTTACGCCTCTGGTCAAATAGCATTGGTTTTAGAATGGAACACGATTTCCTACGACGTTACGAGTCCTCTCTTTATACCTACTCTATGGTTATAATGGAAACTTCAAATGACCAACTATCTTCGAGCCGGCTCTGCTTAAACTCATTATGTATTATAGAATATGCAACCAATAATACATTATTGAGTATAATTGGTTGCAGAATAGTAGGACCACAAAGTAGAGGCCAAAAAAACGGGATTTTTACCATAAAGATAAACAAAAAAAAGGTCATAAAAGAAATATGGTCTAATTGAATTTGTTTCCTAACTTTTAAGAGAATGTTTTACAACAATTACTTTGACATACCCTGAAAGAAATAATTATTTATTAGGTAGGAAGTGTATTAGGTATAGATATACATCTTTATAAACGTAAATCATAAAGTGAAAAACATTTGTTTATGAAAATTCACAACAAATTCAAGGTGACTTATCGCAAAATTTTTATTTGAAAGCATTTAGGTCATATGCACTGACATTCCTTATCGAGTTTTAAAAATATTTTCAGATTAGAATCAAAATTGTTGAGACTCGAGCTAAAGTATACACAAGTTTTCAATCGAAAACTCAGTCCTCAGTCGATTATCATTCTCAATGCCAACTTCATCTAAGTATATTCGGCTTCAGAATCTAATCATTATTAACCTTTTTTTAGTTAATTTTAAGTAGGTATAGTAACACGGGAATTATTTTTGTGAAATGGCGGAAAAAATAGTGCCAGTAGATCAGTTAGTAAAAGAAGCGAAAAACGTGTATAAAGAACAGTTCGGTGAAGAAGCGGATATAGCGGTCTTTGCCCCTGGAAGAGTAAATTTAATCGGAGAACATACCGATTACAATGATGGGTTTGTTATGCCAATGGTATGTTGACTTGGTTTATACTGCAAATTTTTAAATAGCCTAGCTACGTTTTGTCACTAGAGTTACACAAATATATTTATTTTAAAATTAACAGAAACATAGGCGCCGACTACGGGAGGCCAAGGTTCCACCGGGAATAATCGCAAAAAAAAACATTTAAAATTTCTAAAAAATCAATAACATTCAACCCCCTTCGAGTGACAGTTGCAGCCTCCAAATTTGTAAATAGGAAGTAGGGGCTTGTGATACCTCATTTGAAAGGTTTCTTCATTCGCTATTTAAAACTGCTGTGGTTTTAAAATTTATTGCAAAAATTAACAGTTAAAAAATTAATTACTAATAGAGATTCGTTTTTGATAATGTAATAAAATATCAAAAACATTAATCTTGATTTGTAAATAGGAAGTAGGAGCTTGTGATACCTCATTTGAAAGGTATCTTCATTCGCTATTGAATAATGCTGTGGTTTTTAAATTTATTGCAAAAATTAACAGTTAAAAAATTAATTAATTACTAAGGGGTGAGTGGCTCAGTGGTAGAGTCGCTGTATGTGGAGCCAAGGGTCCCAGGTTTGAATCCCACCGTTGGCCGGGATTTATTTATTTAATTTCATTATTTAAAATTAATTCTGATGTCTTGGTAGGATTCCCCACCCGACCATTCACTGTCGGGTTCCAATTAACAGTGCTGTTCCTAAAGTGGCGCTGGGAAACAGTAACAAAACCTACACAGAACACGAGGCTAATGGCATTAGTAGTCGATGCCGATGACACCAAATTTAAAAAAAATACGTGTGGCACTCGGGGACTGCCGCGGTAAAGCTATTGCATAGCATTTTTTATCAACTTATGCAATTATAATTATTTATTTTATTTATGCAGAATTTTTTTTCTTTGATATTATTTCAAGTTTTTTCTTTGATATTAATTCAAGTTACACTTTTTGAGCGTGGTGACCGATAAGAAAAGAAATTTTTTTCTTTTATTGAATAAATGAGAAGTTAATATTGTTTAAAATATTTTTATTATTTTACAATACATGTAGGTTAGGAATTTTTATCATTGAAACTATAGGTTTATGGTAACTGAAATAAGAAACATAAGTTTGAGACTTGATATCCTCTAAATATCTGGAAAATACCGCGTCAATGGTGGTCCCATATTTTGTTGTGGATTCTTGTGGATCATTATTCATTTTCAAATTCAATTTTTCCGAAATTGTGTCTAAAAGAGATAGAATCAGTTATGAGCAGTTAGCAGCTAGTCTAAACGCATAAGTCTAGTCGCACGCACACAAACACCGTGCCGAAGTTTGGCGAACTGAAACGACGTTAGACGATGCACGGCTTTCAACGCCGTACCGCTGTGCCAGTCGGAGTAGGGGGTGTTAGGTTTATTTTCTTTACGGAATTTCTTTTTCAATTTTTCGATTTTTCGGTTTTTCGATTTTTCGATTTTTCGATTTTTCGATTTTTCGATTTTTCGATTTTTCGATTTTTCGATTTTTCGATTTTTCGATTTTTCGATTTTTCGTTTTTTCGATTTTTCGATTTTTCGATTTTTCGATATTTCGATTTTTCGATTTTTCGATTTTTCGATATTTCGATTTTCGATTTTCGATTTTTCGATTTTTCGATTTTTTGATTTTTCGATTTTTCGATATTTCGATTTTTCGAGGGGTTAGGTTTATTTTCGTTACGGAATTTCTTGATTCGGTCGCCGCGCTCAAAGCCCGCGATAAAATATGTGAAATAGCTTAATAATGATATAGTTAACCCTGATAAAATAAAAATTAATATTTTTTCTACACCCGTATTATAATAATACACTTATATGCCCATAATCCGTTTCATAATGATACCCATTATGATACAGATTTTTCATTACGATACAGATTTTTAATCAATATAAACCTACAATGTTTCAATCAAGCATGCTGTTTGACGTTTGTCCTAGGTTTCTATGTAATTGTTTTAGTTGTCAAAACGTATTAAATTTTCGTAGATAGCTAAACTTCCATAATTATAATATTAAAATGTCTGATATCAGCGATATAGAAGACTCCTCCACAAATATCGGAGAAAGCAGAAAATACAGTACAAAATATTTTGCCGCAAAAATCTAGGGAAATACCAATACCCGAAGTAATACAATTAATTACAATTTTGTAGAATTTTTTATAGAAATACGAATAATTACCAATATAAATATAATATAAATATAATATTTATAGGTCTTAATTATTTATCGGGTGTAGAAAAAATAGCGTATGCAACTCTCTTGTAATGGTTATTACGTGATCGTTGCATAATATACTATTATAAATCTTGCAAAAAAAATCTAATATTTACGCCAGCCGGGAACTTTGTGATACCAATTTATTAGAAGCCAGAGAAAGCTATTCTAGTTCTTGTATTGCATAAACGTTCCAGTCCGCAGACGTATATTTAACTCCGCTTCATACTAATACGAATAGGGTCGGATAAAACCTTCCACGGCTTTCAAAACGCCGCACCGCTGTGCCGGTCGGAGTGGGGGGTGTTAGGTTTATTTTCGTTACGGATTTACGAAATTTCTTGATTCGGTCGTCACGCTCAAAGCCCGCGATAAAAGCTATGCAATAGCTTAAAAATATGTGGTTTCATTCGCGATTCAAGAGGAGTTTTCAAAATTAAAACATCACTGGACTTCAGAGAAGGGAAGACTTTTTTTACCCCGTATCATATGGTACAGGTCCCCCACATGATACAATAAAATGAAAGGTATGATATTACGCAGATTGATACTATACACGTCATGGTGACGTAAAGTGGTGGAAGGCGTGACTTTTACGTATCAGCTGATGAGACAACGCGCGAAAATACATTTTAACCGGCTCATGGCCAATCATATTCCACACCACAATACTTCTCGCGCGAACTCGACGAGATTTCGTCGGATAAGTATCATGCCTCTGTTTTTTGTATCATGCCTCCCGCATATAAACAAAAGTCGGCGCCTATGAACAGAATAAATTTCAATAATAAATGATCACTTTTTTTTATCGGTAATGTAAATTATAAATAAACACAACCAAATTTTTCTTGCAAAACCGTATTTATATTTTTGTCGTTATTATTAATGATTATGATACCTAATAATAAATACTAATGATATGATTATTAGTTCGCATTAAGTCTGGAGTATTGATTTTAGGAAGTATTTATATTTACAAGTACTTTCATAAATACCTTCATAATTACACCAATGGTAAATAGATCTCATATTTTTCAAAAATTGTTTATTTTAATTTTTACCTACTTAGATTTGTAATATTTATTGTTATTTAGTTTCACTAAAAAAATAAAATTAGCTTTACAAATGAAGTGTCACCTTTTGGCAGTTACGATCTATCATATCTTATACTACTAAATTTCCCACAAAAGGAGGTACTTTGTGAGGTATCACATAACACCTCTGTTTCTATATCAACAAATCATCGATTACGTTATCACGCCAACACTTAAAGGACACATTTTTCTCCAATGGGCATTTATAAAGTGAAAGATTGATGCGATTCAAGATTCTAATCAAAAAAACGACTATTTTTGAAAAACTGAATGAATCCATTACATTTTCATCATTCCTACTGCAGAAAGAAAATATTAAACATTTTCTATACATAGAAGACCAAAACGAATTATATATTTTTTGTTTCAAATCAAATGGAATTTCAAAGGTAGGGATCAAATTTTTATACAGAACCAGTTATGACATCAGAAATGTTTAACACGTTTATTTATTTATTTATTTATTTGTTACACCACCCAACAGTAATCACCATTTACTGGGTGGGAAAGACAAGAAAACATTAAAATATAAATACAAATACAAAATTGTTAAAAAGCTATACAATACAATGTAAACATCCAGAAAAAAACTGACCGAACACAGGATAAAAAAAAATGGTTGTCTACATTGCATTACTTGCTGTACATCATTTTTTTACATTTACAAAGAAAAAACATTTTTAATCATATGTTTTTTACATGCAAAAATGTCCAAGCTGTCTTGAATTTCATGATATTTCTGAATAGATTGGTACATTGGAGATGAGTTTAAAAACATTAGTTCTAGAAGCAGGCATGTAGAAACTCAAGTAAACTCTTAATCCAGCACGGGGGATTTTTAGATTGACGTAATTTAACAAATCAATACTGTCGACTGAGCCATTTAAAAGATTATAAAGTAGGAGTACCTGTTGGAAATTTCTGCGTATCTCGAGCTCTGAAAGATTGAATCTAGATATTAGTAAAGCGTGGGGATATCCCCTTGCAGGGTATATACCATCTAAAACATAGGAAGCCGATTTCATGAATTTTCTTTGAACTTTTTCGAGTAAATCAGTATAAATGTTATGCACTGGATTCCAAACAACAGAACAGTATTCAAGTTTTGACCGTACAAAGCTAATATATAAAGTTTTTAAGGTGACTATGTCCTCGGAATTCTTTACAGCTTCGAATAACAAAGCCTAAAGCTCTTGTTAGCAGCAGATAACATCGTTTCAATGTGTTTAACGAAAGATAGTTCAGGATCAAAATAAACTCCGAGATCTCTTTAGAAATATAACGAAGTGTTTGATAAGAACTGATACCTAATATGTGGATTTTTTTAAATAATTGAATTATCTTTCTTAATAAAAATACGTAGGTTCTTTAAAATACAAATATTTTTTCTGTATTTACATTGTGTATGTTAGTTTCTATAATTACCTTATTTGTTTAGTGTTTAACATCGAGATAGAATAAAGTAGAGACGACATAAACATAAACACTATTTTGCGATATGACAAATGGACGCACTTCAAGTGACGGAAAAGTGTGATGAAAATGGTGACTTAAGTCGTACTTTGATTTATTTGAAGTTAACAATTTTATATTTGAAGACTGACGAAAATAATTTTATATTATTTATATGAAGCTATTTGAAGAAAAATAGCATTTATTCTCACCAAAACTG